GGAGTATCTCGGCCCTCGGGGATGTTTCTCACGAGGAAGGGGTTCTTTAGGACGGCCTTCTCCAAGCACCACTTGATGTTGACAGGCAAGAAGTATGCGCACTTGGTCAACCGGTCTACAATCACCCAGGTAGCATCACTATTCCTAGCTGACCTAGGCAACCCAACAATGAAATCCATGGTAATGTTATCCCACTTCTACTCCGGAATCTCTATCTGCTGCATCAACCCACTCGGCTTCTGATGCTCCACCTTTGCTTTATGACAAGTCAGACAGGCCGCCACATACTCAGCTATCTCCCTCTTCATGCCAGGCCACCAGAAAGTCTTCCTAAGGTCCTGGTACATCTTACTCATACCCGGATGTATGCTAAGTCTACTCTCGTGGCTTTCCTCCAACACAGCTTTCTTCAACTCAGCATCCTGAGGTAGGCAGACTCTACCCTTGAACCTCAAGATTCCATCTCCTCCTAGTTCGAAGCCAACAGCCTTCTCGGTACCCAACAACCCAAGAAGCTTCACCAACTCGGCATCTTGCAACTGCTTAAGTCAATGGACTTGCCTCTCAACTCCTTCAGCTTATGATCAACTACAGCTACTGGCAACTTCCCATACGTCAAATTCTTCTTCACTTGTACTTCATCCAGTTCCACCACATGACTCGAGTCATGGACGTACTTTCTCAGCTGGGAGGCATGAAACACATCGTGCAGGTTTGAAAGGGACGGCGGCAAAGCCAACCGATAGGCAACTGGACCCACACGTTGTATGATCTGATAGGGACCCACGAACCTCGGTGTCAACTTCCTTACTTTCAGTGTTCTACCCACACCAGAAGTCGGAGTCACCTTCAGAAACACATGCTCCCCTTCGGCAAACTCCAAAGGCTTCCTCCTCTTGTCAGCATACGACTTCTGCCTACTCTGAGTAGTCTTCATTCTTTCCTGAATCATCTTCACTTTCTCAGTGGTCTGTAGGATTAGCTCCGGACCTACCACCACTGACTCACCATCCTGGTACTAGCACAGAGGAGTTCTACATCTTCTGCCATACAACGCTTCAAATGGTGACATCCCAATGCTTGCATGAAAACTGTTGTTGTAGGTGAACTCAACCAACGGTAGGACCTCCTCCCAGCTACCCAAGTGGTCTAACACACAAGCCCTAAGCAGATCCTCCAAGGACTGGATTTTCCTTTCTGACTGACCATCCGTCTGTGGATGATAAGCAGAGCTCAACCTCAACTTCGTGCCTAAGGCTTGGTGTAGACTCTACCAAAATCTAGAAGTGAACCTCGGATCTCTGTCTGAAATAATACTGGAAGGCACCCCGTGCAACCGTACTATTTCCCTCACATACAACTGCGTCAGCTTCTCCAAGCACCACTTGATGTTGACAGGCAAGAAGTATGCGCACTTGGTCAACCGGTCTACAATCACCCAGGTAGCATCACTATTCCTAGCTGACCTAGGCAACCCAACAATGAAATCCATGGTAATGTTATCCCACTTCTACTCCGGAATCTCTATCTGCTGCATCAACCCACTCGGCTTCTGATGCTCCACCTTGTGTTGGTCAACGTGACCGATAGGGACCTTCCGGTACAGTATGGTTGAGTATTAAGCTTATAATCTATAATCTTAGAGCTTAAAAGATTATATCACATGTTGGAGGCATGTAAACAAATGCTTTGGAATTGTGAGCATTTAAAAGTTGAAAAATTATTGATAGAATTTGTAGTAAATTTTTTTTTATTTTTTCGTAAAAAATATTTCTGTAGAATATTTTGCGAAAATATTCGCAGGAAACTTTCCTGCGAATTTTTTCGCAAGAAATTTGGCAGGAAAATTTCTTGTGAATTTTAAAATTCACAAAAACATATTATCCACGAAGGTATTACCTGCAGATAAAATTTTGCATAAAAGTTCCTAAGAATAATGTATGTTGCAAATTTTAATACAAAATTCACAGAAAAAGTCACATATAATTAGAGAAATTATAGGAAAATACACTCTAAACCAAACATGTCTTTACATTTAGATGGTTTTTTTTAAAAAAAAAAAACTTACTTGTATCTGTGTCGTCATATTTTAAACCAAAAAAATCTTATCAAAAACTTAAAGAAAAATGACGTGTATCGTTAATACACGTGTCACAACATCATTCACCATTAACATGAACCCAAAAAATTCTGATAAAAAATTCAAAAAAAAAATAATATCCCTAAACCATAAACCCTCTGTCATAAAAGGGTTCGGAAGGAATTTTCCACCTTTTATCCAGATTTATTAAATCCATCACCTCATTCCAAAGTAATCATATCAATTGACTTCATGCCATAACAATGATAATAATACCAACAAAATGATATGGTGATGGTGCATCTTCAATAATTGTCGCGGAAGATTGTTATAATTTATTGTTAACCTTTTTTTTTTTTAACTTACTTGTATATGTGTCGTCATATTTTAAACCAAAAAAATCTTATCAAAAACTAAAAAAAAATGACGTATATCATTAATACACGTGTCACAACGTCATTCACCATTAACATGAACCCAAAAAATTCTGATAAAAAATTCAAAGAAAAATATAATATCCCTAAACCATAAACCCTCTGTCATAAAAGGGTTCGGAAGGAATTTTCCACCCTTTATCCAGATTTATTAAATCCATCACCTCATTCCGAAGTAATCATATCAATTGACTTCATGCCATAACAATGATAATAAGACCAACAAAATGATATGGTGATGGTGCATCTTCAATAATTGTCGTAGAAGATTGTTAGAATTTATGGTTAAGCATAGTAGAACTGTAAATTTTTTACTACACCTTGTTAAGAACAACAACTAGAAAAGTAGATTTACTCACCAACCAATACTAACGAAACTCGGTTCTTCTCTAAATCATTCAACTATTTAAAATCAGAAGATACAATTAATGGGGTTCCACTGGTTTTCACACCGGACAATACATTACACTTCGGACAAGCTTACCTACTCATGACGATCAGGAGAACTAAATGTGTTTTAGGTGAAAATTCAAGATGCAATGGGGAGAACTCTTGCAAATGATCGCAAAATCCCCTCAACTACTAGTTTATGATTGTATTTGCTTAACAGAAGTGAAGCAACTACAATACATATGTTCACAACAAAACAAAAGGAAATAGGATTGAAAATGTGTAACTCATCTAATACACTCTAAACCAAACATGCCTTTACATTTGGATGGGTTTTTTTTTTAGACCAACAAAATGATATGGTGATGGTGCATCTTCAATAATTATCGTGGAAGATTGTTAGAATTTATTGTTAACCTTTTTTTTTTTTAACTTACTTGTATCTGTGTCTTCATATTTTAAACCAAAAAAATATTATCAAAAACTAAAAAAAAATGGCGTATATCGTTAATACACGTGTCACAACGTCATTCACCATTAACATGAACCCAAAAAATTCTGATAAAAAATTCAAAGAAAAATATAATATCCCTAAACCATAAACCTTCTGTCATAAAAGGGTTCGGAAGGAATTTTCCACCCTTTATCCAGATTTATTAAATCCATCACCTCATTCCGAAGTAATCATATCAATTGACTTCATGCCATAACAATGATAATAAAACTAACAAAATGATATGGTGATGGTGCATCTTCAATAATTGTCGCAGAAGATTGTTAGAATTTATGGTTAAGCATAGTAGAACTGTAAATGATTGATTGAGAGAAAATATATATGACAAAGATAGAATTTATTGAATCGAGAAATTAAGGTGAGTATATTAAGTCATTATATAAAGAGTAAGCAAATTAAATATCTAAATAATAAGCATATATTTACTATTCTTTTAAAAATATTTTCTAACTAATCACATATCTAAAAAACATAAATTAAGGTGATTCTAGTCACGAACTTAAATTTTGGAGTTGCAACCAAACATCCACTTGCATATTTGATTTATGTTTTCTTTTTCACCACAAACAGTAGCCAACTTGATTCAAATTTAGCAGAAGAAAATGTTTTTCTCCATCAAACTTGGATTGAAACATTATTAAAAGCTAGAACGGAGAAGCCTAAATTAAACACTTTTGAAGATCCAAAGTCCATATTAATTTATTTTATTAGCCACTAAAAAAAAGGCTGATTAAGAAATGGGGTGAAAAAAAATGAACATTTCTAAAATTCTAAATAAACATTACCCTGTCATTAGATCAATTAAATACCATTAATCATTCATTACATTCTCAATCAATTAAATATAACAATAAGAAAAACTCAGTTTAAATAATACATTCTTTATTTGTTTCCTAAAAATAAAAAAGGTACAAAAATATATAGTCTAAAAAGTATATATAACATGTAAACAGAGAAATATATATTATTAAGATCTTGTGATTAATTTTGTATTGCATTAAAAATGTACTTTTATAATATAGTACTGTATAGTGTAGATCTAATTCGTGCAACAGAAAATCAAAATTTGGAACATGCACCTGAGACATCATTCAAAATTAATTTTGCTAACATTGATAATTAATTTATCACAAATCAATTTCCACTCATTCTTTATCGAGAAAGAATTAAGTTCTTACACTGAATCACACTTTTCTAAGCTTAGCTATTCTCCCGGGTACTATCTCATTCTCTCTCTCAATAAAGTATTCCCATAAGAAATTGAAAACATTTTATTCAAGACAGGATAATTTTTTATACACATGCACACAACTTGAAAATTGAACCTCTAATAATGAGACAAGATCCTTTTGCAAGCAACTTGTTGTCCCTCTCATTAATTCTCAAATTCTAAACCCCTTAGTGCTCCCTCCATACTTCCACTAACCTATTCAAAGCAATGATGGAAGATCCACCTTCACTCATTGCCTCCGTGGCACTAATCTTCATTTTAAAAATCCTCTGCCTAATCTCCTTCCCCTTGTCCGAGTCCATCAGCTCCCTAACTCGCTCCCCCAACTCAGCCGAACTCACCACCCCATTTTTCCCCTCCTTCACCGCCAACCCCACCTTCATCTCCTCCACCAAGATCACCCTATTCAGCCTCTGCTCCGCGTACAACGGCCACGCCACCATGGGCACGCCCTCGCACACCGCCTCCAACACCGAGTTCCACCCGCAGTGAGTCACGACCCCGCCCACCGAGTCATGACTCAGTATGGCAGCCTGTGGGGCCCAGTCCCGCACCACAAAGCCCTTCCCTTGAGTCCTCTCCAAAAACCCTTCCGGCAACAACTCGTCCAAACTCGGCACCACCACCCCCGAGTCACCCTCCTCAAACTCGCTCCTTATAACCCACAGAAAACGTTGCTCACTCTTCTCCAACCCTAGAGCGATCTCCCTCAACTGAACCCTGGAGAATCTCCCCATGCTTCCGAAGCTCAAGAACACGACACTCTGACTCGGTTGCGAGTCAAGCCAAGTCAAGCACTCACTCTCGTCTTTTCTACAAGGAGCAGAAGAAATAACAGGCCCAATGCAGAACACTGGGGGAGTGGTGGTAGTTCCCTCCATCAACCCTTGGTTGAAAACCTCGACCACCCTCTCCTCAATGGCGTTGAAGCTGTTTACTATAACACCATCGCTGTCACGTAAACACGTGGCGATGTCGATGTAAACCTGGTAGCTTTCACTCTTGCGATCTTTGACGGGGTCGGGTAAGTCATCGGTGTGAATCTTGGGCACGCCGGGGATTATGAGGTGCATGTTGAGGTCCTTGAGAGAGACGGTGGTGTTCTCGTGGAGGGTGGGTTGTTGGAGGAGAACGGCGAGGGTGGAGGCGCCGGAGGTGTAGTAGAAGTAGGTGGGGATGTTGAGCGCGGCGGTGACGCGTGTGGCGGCGTAGTTCATGAAGTCGAGGACGACGGCGCGGAGGGAGGGGATGGAGGCGAGGATGCGGCGGAGGTGGCGGGTGGTGGCGCGGCAGAGCTCGAAGGTGAGGGCCTGCGGGGGGAGGGCGGTGGGGATGGAGACTTGGGGGATGCGGTGGAAGGTGATGGCGGGGGTGGCGGCGGTGACGGCGGCGATGTATTTGGCGGTGGCCTGGCAGGTGAAGGCGGTGGGGGAGGTGGGGGTGTCTTGGTTGGGGGGTGGGGTTAGGAAGAGGATGTTGATGGAGAGGGAAGGGTGGTGGGTGATGATGAGTTTTCCTAGCTCCACCATGGACACTAGGTGGCCTCTTCCTAGGGCGGAGTAGAGGACTATGGAGTCTTTTGTGGTCATGCTGCTTCAAATCAGAGTTTTGAGTTTTCCTTTTTCTCTCCTCAGTTTAAGGAGATTGTGGTTGGTGAACTAATGGGAGAGACTCACTTTCTTTCCTCTATTTATGGCAAGACCTAGCTGCGGCACTACTGTGGCCTCTATTACACGTCGGCTACTTCCAAATAATGTTTTATTATATTGCCTTTCTAGAACCTTATGTATTTCCTTTCCCCTAACTCTATTTTCCTTTCATTTTAAAAACTTATCATCTGTTAATTTTAAAAAAAATTAATTTCTGCTTTGTATACATGTACTCGTTGAATAAGATGTACAGATAAGTTACTATAATACAGGAGTGTACGTATGGGTGGTGCGATATATTATGGTTATTGTTGCTATCGATATTAATTCACTTTGTATTTACACATTTTCTGTTTTAGTTGAGAATGTGAAGAAACAGAATCACAATCGAGAAGTAGAAGAGCAGGTATACTTGTAGACTTAATAGTTATATGTTGTTTGGTTAGAAAAAAAAATAGAATATTTAGTGCTGGATTCACCTAAATAGAAAATCTTTCATTATATGAATAAAGAAAATTGACAAAAAAAAAAGAAGAAAAAGAATTGATTTAATCTGATTCAAGGTTATATTTTTTGTAGTTTAAATTAATTTATTATTAACATAAATAATTAAATACTTACATTATTACTTATAAAAGATTAAGATTTATTTTATAATTTTAATATAAAATCACAATTAAAAATATTATTTTATTTATACAAGGATCAACAAAATCATATATATATATATATATATATATTCGTTAGACTTAAAAAAAAATCGACTATTTTAGTTTTTTCAGGAATAGTATTTTTATATTTTTCTATTTTCCTCTCTAATTGTTAACTAAAATTTGGGGTGGACCAATATTTTCCCCACTTAAGAGCATATATTGATATCTAAATAATATATATATATATATATATTAATTAAATATATGCTTTATTTTCGGTTAAAATTTATTAAAATATAAACTTATATAAAATATTAAATACAAAATAAAAAATATTAAATTCTGTAGTCTTTAATATTTTAATTATAATAAAAAAATATTCAAATAAGTGTGTCAGAAAATATTCCCAGCATATTTGTACTCGTGATAAAAATTTTCGTTAAAAAATGAACCAAAAACTTCAAGGGATGTACGTTTGTTTATTTTATGCTTCTACATGCATGTGCTTCTAGAAGATTGAATATTTAATCACAATAAGTGTATTTGAAAAAACTGTTAGAAAAACAAATTATTTTAATAATTGATTATATAAATAATTAATAATAATTAAAATAAATTTATGTATATATAAATTTGATGAAAATTTATTAAGATGTTAATTTTATTTTATTTTGATATATAAAACAGTCAACTTTTATGTAGTAATAAATCAGTTTAAAGAAAAAAATTATTAAAAATTATCATAAATTTTAATTATTTTAACTTTATGAGAAAAATATTTTCAAAAGAAAATAAAAATTATATACAAATTTAAGTTATTATTTTACACACAATTTTTTTCAAACAACTTTTTGCTATAAAAAAATTAAAATAATAAACGAGTTCCTGGTCGGTTGTATTAAATGATTAGGATGATATTTGATATTACATTTAATACAATTCAAGATGATTTGTACAAGTTAAACTAAATTATTAATTTATACTGAAAACTAATGCATATTAAACAACATATCAAGTATATAATAAACATAAAAATATTTAAAATATTAAACTTCATCCTAAAACACTATATATAATCTAAATTACATGCATCATAATTAAAATATAAAAAAAAATACAATCTAGAGGATTACGATAATTGATATATCACATCACTGGGGTTTACCAAACCTTGTTAAAAAGTGTTGGTACAAAAAAATTTCTTCTTTTCTTCCACGCACATTAATAATGATGAGAATCATATTAAAATAACATCGTAAAAGAAATAGAAAAAAATTAAATAAATTTATTTAACGTGATTTAACCCCTCATATCTATGTCCATAAGAATGTTCATTATTTATCTCAAATGTATTACATATATCCTGAAAATTCTCCCTTCAGGTTTTGTATGTTAAATTTGGAAACCTCTTCCTCACAAGTTTTATTGGTAAAACTTGGAAACCCCTTCCTCATAAGTTTTATGGCGAAACATGAAAACCATCATTCACAAGTTATCTGGCGAAACTTGAAAACCTTCCTTCATATGATCTCCTTTTTTAATTAAGGCGGTAATCCTCTCTACAGGTTGGGTGATTCTTCTTCTCTCAAGAGTTTCTATTTATTGACCTTACATTACAATATTAAAAGAGGAAACAAATCTCTAAAATAAATACAATATATTTCAATTCTAAACAATATCTTAAAAGAAACAATATCTTTTAAAATCTAAATAATATCTTAGAAATTCAAATTTGAAAATTTGAATTCTTTTCCTAACAATTCCTTCCTTAATTAAAATTTTCAAATTTAACCTTGTTGTCATGGATGTTTGTCACAATCATCTTCAATCATACTTTTACTTTATAATATTTTTTGTCTCCATTTCTTGGGTATTGCAATCGTTGTATGTCAATATTCAATACTCAAGTGACAGGTTACCAGGCTCCACGAACTTGAGCTCTGATATCACTGTTGGGTACAAAAATATCCTCTTTTCTTTTACGCATAGTAATAATGACGAGAATCATATTAAAATAACATCATAAAAGAAATAGAGAAAGATCACACAAATTTATTTAGCGTGATTCATCCCTCATGCCTAGTGTCCACAAACATGTTCATTATTTATCTCAAATGTATTACATATATTCTGAAAATCCTCCCTTCAAATTTTGTGGATTAAACTTGAAAACCCCTTCCTCACAAGTTTTATGGATGAAACTTAGAAACCTCTTCCTCACAAATTTTATGGCGAAACTTGAAAACCATCATTCACAAGTTTTCTGGCGAAACGTGAAAACCCTTTTTCATATGACCTTTTTTTCATTTAAGGCGGTGACCTCCTCTATAGGTCAGGTGATTTTTCTCATCTCAAAAGTCTCTATTTATTGACCTTACATTACAATCTTAAAAGAGAAAATAAATCTCTAAAATAAATACAATATATTTCAATTTTAAACAATATCTTAAAAGAATCAATATCTTTTAAAATCTAAATAATATCTCACAGATTTGAATTTGAAAATTTGAATTGTTTTCCCAACAATTCCTCCCTCAATTAAAATTTTCAAATTTAACCTTATTGTCATGGATGTTTGTCACAATCATCTTCAATCATACTTTTATTCTACAATATTTCTTGTCTTCATTTCTTGGGTATTAGAATCGTTGTATGTAAATATTCAATACTCAAGTGACAGGTCACCAGGCTCCACGAACTATGAGCTCTAATATCACTGTTGGGTACAAAAAAAATCTTCTTTTCTTTTACGCACAATAATAATGACAAGAATCATATTAAAATAACACCATAAAAGAAATAGAAAAAGATCACACAAATTTATTTAATGTGGTTCAGTCCCTCATGCCTACATCTACAAGGATGTTCATTATTTATCTCAAATGTATTACATATATCCTGAAAATCCTCCCTTCATGTGTTTGTGGGTTAAACTTGAAAACTCCTTCCTCACATGTTTTATTGATAAAACTTGAAAACCATTCCTCACAAGTTTTATGGGTGAAACTTGAAAATCCCTTCCTCATAAGTTTTATGGCGAAATTTGAAAACCATCATTTACAAGTTTTTTTGGCGAAACTTGGAAACCCTCCTCCATATGACCTCCTTTTTCATTTAAGGCGGTGATCCTCTCTACGGGTCGGGTGATTTTTCTCATCTCAAAAGTCTCTATTTATTGACCTTACATTACAATCTTAAAAAAGAAAACAAATCTCTAAAATAAATACAATATATTTTAATTCTAAACAATATCCTTAAAGAATCAATATTTTTTAAAATCTAAATAATATATGAGAGATTTGAATTATTTTCCAACAAAAAGTAACTGTGTATACTTTTATTTTTTCCCTGATGAATTAGGTACCTTTTGACCAATAATTAATAAGTATATATATTATGAAATTGTTAATCTAATTTCTTTTTCTTTGTTCCTAGTATGTAAAATTCGTATCAAGTTTCATGGTGTTAATTAGTTGGGAAAGCTTTGCTCAGTTATTCCGAGTATCTAACATTGAAGATTGGTTTCCCATGGTGTGTCTTTTATGTTGTTGTTATTGCAAATAAGTTTGTCTTAAGTGAGATAAATTCTGTAATTAAAAGATGCTTAACTTTATTGTCATGTGTTTGCTTGTTGTTTAATTATTTTGTTCATAAGGCATGTGATATGTTCTAAGAGGGAAATCTGGCAACTAGCCCCACTGAGTTTTTATATCTTCGGAGGAATCAATACACCTGTTTTTGATGATCTTCTTCGTCTTCAACTGGAAACTATTATTTACTATTGAAGATTAACAAATATTATCTCTAAAGTTTGTTTGTGGTGCTTCTTTAATCTTATTGATGCAATTAACTGTGTCCACTTGGAGTTGTGTGTCATTATTTGAACCCATATGTATTAGTTTTAATATTAAGTTCACATTGCATAGCTCGATTACGTACAGAGACGTGCTCTGGTTGGTTCGATTTACATCGATTTCACACTATAATATCACACTCAAGTTAATCTAATGTGATATTTTATAATTCAGATGGGTAAGTTGCTAAGGTAATTTTGTCATTATGTTTTAATCAAAATTAAAAGTTTGAGTTATTCTTGCATAGATATAGACATAATATGTTATTTTTAGGCACCGCCAAAATGAAAGTTTACACTTGTAAGATAAAAATAGAAAAGAAAAGAACGTAAAAACAAAACAAATGCGTAATGCAAAAAGACGTGACGATTCACAATTATTTAAGGCAAATTCAATTCTTCAGCTATTGTTTCAGCCAATGCTTTGTGACTCTTCTGTCTTTTTTTCTTGCAAACATGAAAAGGAGAGGCATAACAAAATCTATAACATAT